ACCCTGGAGCAGTCCCCCATTCCCAGCGTTCATGGGGAGGGAACACAGTGGCTTCCCCGTGGCACACAGGATGTGGGAGGCAGAAATGCATCCAGGGTGCAATTACCTGACCACGCGGCATCGTGACACCCCAGCTGCACGCTCGGGCACTTCTGGTGGCACCCCCAGGGCAGAACAGAAGGGGCAACTGGGCCCCAGTGATGCCACCAGAGATGGAGACGTGGCCAGGACCCAGTGAGCGCCTCAGCACAGGGTCAGGGCACTGCTCCTTGGTGCCGCTGGGGCTGGACTCTCACCCCCAGATCCTTCCGGGGGGTCCAAGTAGCAGCCGGCATGGCCATATATGAATGCAAGGGGAGCCCCTCTCTCCAGGCCCTGCCAGCCCTGCCTTTTGGGGGAAAGGCCCAAGCTCCCCCCAATATCCGGTGCCCGGAGCTCCCACACCAAGAGGTGCCAGAGGCAGGCACCAGCGGCCAGCCAGGCGTCTCTGCGTTGAACAGGATGCAAAGGACAGGGCAGCGTCTGCTCGGCTCTGCTCTTCCTGCCCACTCGGCTGCAGGCGGGGGGGTCTGCTTGGTGCCACAGAGGGTGGCTGATTTAGCCACCGGGCCAGATCCAGCACTGCCCCATGACCTCTCCGTGGAGGCACCCGATTCACACAGGGGAGACCAGAGCAGGATGGGCCTTGTAGCACTCAGGTCCGTGGCCCCTGCTGCAGGCAGCACCGGTCCCTGCTGGCACTGGGGCCTGCCCAGGCCCTGCCCACATCTCGTCTCAGTGCCCCCAGACCCCTACCCTGCTGGAGAGTATCTCCAGACACCTCCTCTGCTCCGGTCCCCAGCTGCTGCTCCCCTGCACATCTGGGCACCCCACTACTTTTGTCCACTGAGATGCGGGGATGTGGCTCTGGGGGCACCGGGGGGTTGGCGCAGGCGGCCATTAGCAGACCCCTCCACCAGCACAGGCCAGCAGGCCCGGCAGGGCCATGAGCGGTGGCAAAGCAACTTGGGCAGTGGTTGGGGGAGACCCCAAAGCATCGTGCAACTGCTGTCTGGCCCTGCCCCCTCCCTTCCAGCAGAGCCCAGCTCTGCGGTGGGGCCCCCTGTGCTGGGAGCACCCATGCATGTAGGGGAGATGCACCTGGGCCCGATGGGGCGGGGGCTGGCGCAGGCGCACCGCCCGTGTGAATTCCCTGGTGTGGGCGTGAAATGCAGCAAGACGGGGCTCGCCGCTCCGCTCCCCGGAGGAAGGCAGACCGGTTCCCAGCCGCCAGCCCCGGCCCGCTTGGCCCCACCCTGCACCCCTGCGCTGGCCTTCATCCTGCCCAGCTCCCGCTTTTCAACAGCTGGTCCTGGCCGCTCAGCACCGGGGCGCCCAGGTGAGCCCCTCTCCTGCCCATCCCCGAGCTGCTCCTTCCCCTGCCAGCCACCAGCTCCCCTGGGAGGAGCAGACCACCCGGCAGCAGTGCGACGAGGCCTGTGCTGACACGTCTGGGTGCTCAGGACCCGGCATCTGGCTGCTGTGTTCGACCTGTCCCGTGCAAATCCAGAGCCCCGGGGTCCAGGGGCGAAGGGGCTGGGGAGGCTGGTGACTCCCCGAGCTGCATGGGCCCCTACCTCGTCGGTGCGGTGGTGTTCTCTGTCTGTCTGACTGTATGTCTGCCTGTCCCGCGCTTGCTCCTCCCGGCTTGGCAGCAGAGGCGACTCCTACTTGCCTGCACCTTGCGCCTGAATCACGAGGTCTCCTGGCTTTTAAAGAGTCACGGCCCTGCTGGGCCCACGCCAACGCTTTTGGGGCGTGCCTGCCACCGGTGTCTCGACAGGAACACCAGGCCAACCCGTTGCAACATGCAGTCCCCTTGGCTCTCCTCCTCCCCTTGGGTGCCCCGGGACATCTGTCCCCATCCCCGCTCTGGGGGGCTCCCTGGGCAGCCCCGAATTAATGGGGGGAGTGGCTGGGAGACACATCCTGCCGCCCCTCCCAGCACCACCATCCGCCGTGGCCCCCGCCACGGCCAGTGGAGAAAGGAAATGGCCTTGGCTCATGTTGGAGTCAACAGGAAACATGGAGTCCAGCTCAGGAAGCCAGAGCCAGAGGCCAGGTGCTCCTCTGCTCTGGGTAGACAAAGGGCAGAGATGGACTTTGGGCCAGACTCTGACTTCCTTACAGAGGCCGGAGACCGGGTCACTCCGCTGCTTCCCATGGAGCTGGTCACAGCTCAACCCACTTCCACATGAACCCCGTGGGACTGGGGAGACCCAGGCCAAGGGAAACCAGGGTCCAGGCCTGCAGACTTTGGACCTGGGTTGTAGTAATAGGAGTGTCGTTTGCATATCAATGGAAAAGATTCATTGCTCCTCTCCGTTCAGCATGGGGGAGGCCTCACATGGAGACCTGTATTCAGTTTTGGGCCCCACACCGCAAGAAGGACCTGGGCAGTTTGGAAAGAGTCCAGTG